TGGTCATCATCTACACAAAAGCAAAAGTTCATAGGATTAGAGAAGTTTCCAAGCTGGATGGATATTTTCCAGGTGATTTTTATGGGGAACATGTTGATTCTATAAAGGAAAACTCATTCAGCTCACCTCTCGCCGTAGGATGCAATGGACCATAACGATGACGAAACCCTCCAAGGAGTCAAAGACAGCAAAGAGGATCTGGAAGAGTGCTGAACGCCTGTCTGTGATGGCCAGAACTGCAGACATCCAGGTGAGAGCCAGGAGAGGTAGGACCACACAGGAGCTCCAAAGGGATGCCCTGTCAAGGGAGAGGAAAAGCCAACTCAGCTCCACTTTAGCCTCATCCACTTCCATGTGGGATGCTAATTCAGCCTCCTGATCCCATGGGGCTGCAGAAGACATCTCCAGCAACCATGGACTTGTGCTGGCTGTTTTCTGAGCCCCTCTCCCAGGGAAGCAGGAAGATGCTTTGCACACTCACTCTACCAAAACAGGTGAGAACGTTCTACGGGAGGGACTATTGGTCAATGGTGCAATCATGCATAAAACTTGAGGTGGGGAGGAAGGATGCAGATAGCTCACTCCCCCTTTCACACCCTTCCCACTCTGGCACTAGTCCACAACAGTGGTATTCCCAAGGAGGGGAGACAAGATACAATCACTGGAGGTTGCCAAAGGGAAGAGGAACAGTTGCAGCAGAGACTGGTCTGTCACGATGGCTGTTGGTACTTGGGTCACAGACACTTGGACTTCCACAGCACATGGAAGACATCAACACTGGGACATGTGTCACAGTTTCAAGTGACTAAAACAGGACAAGCAGAGAGCTGACGTGGAGATTGATATTTTGCTGTTGCTCCTTCACTCTACAGCTGATGGTCCCTAGGACACTGCATCAGTGAACATCAGGAGAAATGACTCCTGACCCAATGTGGACAGAAAATTTCCTGCTTCCTTGTGTGATCTCCCCAGCTGAATGCTTGGGGAAAAAATTGCTTTTTGATCTATATTTGGCAATTAATGTAAGTAAGTTTATTCTTGGGTGGACATTCTGGGTTAAAAGAAATTGAGATTCAAGCCATGTCTTAACTCACAAGACAGAAAACTGGGCAAAATTATTTCCTGTAATGCAATTGCCCCATGAATCTCCATTTTCTCTATGAATGATGGCTCTGGAAATGGGAAAGCAGTTCTGTTCCCATAGACTACTTAGGCATTCAGTTCTCTGACCACAAAGGGTCCCAAGCAATTTTAATAGCTTACTAGGGAGATTTTAAGCTGTCACTCATCCTAGATCTTTGGCAGTGCTGGTGCACTAAGAATATGAGGAGAATTTCTCTGAGGGCTTTTACCTAACAAATCACAGTAGACCTGTGCACAGGCTGAATAACAAGTTGAGCTGCAAGAGTTTAAAATCTCAACCTAAATCCTAACAAACAAATACAGGCAACACAAGAACTTACAGGACAGATACCATGACACATATTTTTGCAGTACTTACATGGGACTTGCTTACCATTTTCTGATCTATGATCAAGTTTTTAATGTTTACTTGATGGTTATCCAGGTACTGCTCTCACACACCTCAGTGAGAGTTTTACCTGAACAAAGCTGGAGCTGGGACACAGGTATGGACATCAGGATATAACACCCTGGTTTTTGCAAGGATTGTTACCTCAGTTCTGCTGTAACGACCACGTACTCAAGTCACAGTTCATTTTACAGTCAGAATGATCCTCTGATTGCAAATATTTCTACAACCTGTCCAGACTCAGATGTGTTCCTTTGTGGTATTCTTAAGCAATGTAATTTACCTAAAGGAGCAGGGAAATGGAATATATATATGTATATAGAATTAGAACAAGCATTGTGAGACCTATATGGAAGGTAAAGGCCATGACATAATCTGATACCTTGTAATTTTGTATGGGATGGCAACCAATGGTCTTTAATACCCAATATGAACTCTAATTTCAAAGTATTACTTAAAAGAAAAAAGCAGCAGACAGCCCTCAACCAAACAAATACCAACTCCTAAAGAGAAGTTCTTATTCCAATTGTCCCTCAGCCCACTGAAATCTTCCTCATTCTACTGAAATATCTCTTTGCTGTCAGTTGTGGTGGTGCAGTCATAAATCTGGCTAAGCAGAATTGCAAGGAAGTGCAGGGAAAAATCAGAGGCAGAAAACCAAATGGAAAGATAAGGTTTGGCCCATAATGTGCCTCTCTAGATGTGTGTTCCATGCAAGTCTCAGCAGACACAAGATGTCTGATGCATGGCTTGGTAGATGAAGTCATTCCAGCAGCAAGTGGAAACCATCAAAGTCAGTAGAAGCTGCTAGAAAAGAGACAACTCTGCTTCCTGGATTTGTCTGGTCTTCCAGAATATTCTTAATAGAATCACAGAACACAATCATAGAATCATCAAGGTTGGAAGAGACCTCTAAGATCATCAAGTCCAACCATTAACCTGCCACTCTGCTGGAAACCCAAACCCTAAACCATATCCTCCAGCATCAGATCCAGATGCCTCTTAAACATGTCCAGGGATGGTGGATAATACACACATATGTGTTCATTACTACCACTAACGTGCAAACAAGACATTAATTGACCACATCTGAGAATAGATCTGACCTGTGACTATAGGTCTGAACCAACCATCTAAATCTGGATGGGTCTTCCATTCTTGAAAAAAACTGCAGCCTCAGATTGACAATGATTTGGATCTGGAGCCAAGATTTGGATGTGGATGTAGGGCTGTAAGGGATGCTGCTGAGGAGGTAAATTCTATGGAAATTAGGTTTCTCTTTAGCAAATGGTTAGATTTGAACTGACTGACTTCATTTTAACAAGGCACTGCTTGAGTCTAGTGTTATCCACAGTGTGGATGCAATGACCCATAACTAAAGTGGTGTCCCTTCAGAGCTGTCCTCACACTGCACTCAGGGAGTCCTTCCCAGCCCTTCACTCCATGTCTTCAGTGGGAAAACTAATCCACTTCCTTCTGAATCAAGATATCCTGATAGACTTCACTACTGCTGCCAACGTAAGCAAACACTGCACTAGTCCTTCCCAGCCCTTCACTCCATGTCTTCAGTGGGAAAACTAATCCACTTCCTTCTGAATCAAGATATCCTGATAGACTTCACTACTGCTGCCAACGTAAGCAACCTGAATTCACCACTTAAATCTCTGCCCTTCCAACCAAATGATGCAAATATCATTTGCCCTTCCATCTTAGAGGATGAAAACTGTATCACACAACCTAGAGTAAATCAGGATTTTCCCAAGTTTCAGTGGGAAAACTAATCCACTTCCTTCTGAATCAAGATATCCTGATAGACTTCACTACTGCTGCCAACGTAAGCAACCTGAATTCACCACTTAAATCTCTGCCCTTCCAACCAAATGATGCAAATATCATTTGCCCTTCCATCTTAGAGGATGAAAACTGTATCACACAACCTAGAGTAAATCAGGATTTTCCCAAGTTGTGCTGACTTACACGAGCTAAGAGCTTGGTCTTTTTGCTCTGTTGGTGATTCACCTTGTAAATCACTTCTCAGCAATATTTATCCCTAGCAAATGTATGGAAATGTTGTTTGACACTTAATGCAGGATCTTTATTCTCAGGCAGCAGGTGGCAACAGGTCATAGGAATGGAACTTGCTCTAATTTCACTCGCAGAGCTCTGCTAAGATTTTGAAATATTAATTTTTTTTAAAAAAAGCTCCATTAAAAAATATGAAATTTCAGAAGAAAACTCAGGGGGAGATAAATGGGTTTTCTGTGAGATTGCCCTTCATTCTGTTGCTGTGAGCTGAATCCATAGCAGAACCCATACTTCTATCACCTTTCCACCTGGGCCTTTTCCAGGAGGTATTGTGCATCCTTAAAAAGATTCTAGAAGAACTTACAGGACCTAAGAAACATCATGTCAAGTTGCCACGTGGTGTGACATGAAACGCTGATCTGTTATATAATGACACTGTGATCACCTAATGGCTTTTCATTGTGGATTAGCTCTGATCAATGAATCCAGGATTTGTATTCCTTGAGACAAAGGAATTAGCTGGCAGATCCTCTTATTTGTCCCATCCATGACAGCACTCATGGAGAGTGACAGCAGCATTGAGGGAAGATCATTGCACTACATTCTGGGAGGAGGATGTTGGTTTATTGTGTGATGACCCTGACATGTCAGTGTTATTCAGCAGTGGAGTTGGAGTGTCACGTTGTTCCTTCCCACCACACCACACTGCTGCTGCATTGCAGAGGAAAGGAGTTACTTTGGGATATGAAAATGCCACAGCACAGTGCAACCAAATAAAACTACAACGACTGAACCTGTGGCATGGCCACACAATTCTTGATCACAGAATCATTAAGGTTGGAAAAGACCTCTAAGATCATTGAGTACAACCATCAACCCAGCACTGCCAAGGCCACCACTGAACTGTGTCCTCAACTGCCACATCTACATGGCTTTTAAATCCCTCCAGGGACTGTGATTGCACCACTAACCTGGGCAGCTGTGCCAGGGTTGCACAGCCCTTTTGGTGAAGAAATTGTTCCAAATATCCAATCTAAACTTCCCCTGGTGCAACTTGAGGCTGTTTCCTCTCACTCTATCACTTGTTATGTAGGAGAAGAAACCAACCCCACAGAGTTAGTCTTCTTTTTTTAGCTGTTCGAGCTAGGTCACTGAACAACAGAACCACAAACTGGGTAAGGTTGGAAGGGACCACAGTGGGTCATCTGGTCCAACCTCCCTGCTCAAGCAATGTCATCCTAGAGCATGTGGCACAGGATTGTGTCCAGATGGTTCTGGAATATCTCCAGTAAGGGAGATGTCACATCCTCTCTGGGCAACCTGTGCCACTGTGCTGTCACCCATACAGCCAAGAAGTTCTTCCTCATATTCCTCTGAACCTCATTTTCCTGAGGGTAAACAATCCCAGTTCCCTTGGATGCTCTTCATAAGACCTGTTCTTTAGAATATGGGATGTTCTAGCATAGGAAAGTATTAGCCTTATGCAAGCAAATAGCAGACCCAGCCCTGGCAAAGAACTGATGACAGACTTTGGTCAAGCTGACTAGAATATGGCATGTTCCAGGATAGGAAAATATTAGCCTTATGAAAGCAAATAGCAGACCCAGCTCTGGCAACAAACTGATGACAGACTTTGGTCAAGCTGACAAAAACTAGCTGTGGTTTTGTCCTTTAGCTAGCTGGCAGCCTTGGGAGTCTTTGGCTTTGGAAAAGAAGCAGAATAAAGTGGTGGCACTTCAGAG